GGGACCAATAGTTCCATACATGAGCCTTAAAAGGAATCCGATTTTTTAAGTTTGATTAATTTAAGACAAAATGTAATTGGATTGGCGAATCGGGTAAACTTTTCTGGCGGTGTTATAAAGTTATCAAGATATGTTGATATAATTATTTTTCGGGACAGTGTTGCGCATTTTCTTCCATATAACAAAAAATCCGCAACACCCTCCACAGAAAAATTCTAAAAAATCAACGGTCATTTTTAGCAACTTGAAACCTGCACTTTATTAGACCAAAATTTAATGGGCTACAAAACTGCATGCCCGAAAATTTTCTAAATCTTCTGATTAAAAATTTGAAAATTTTGATGACAATTTTTTTAAGTTAATTTATGTGGCTTCTGTTATAGATTGAATTTTTAATAGAAGTTTTATCTTTAGGCCTGAGAATTTTTATAGGGTCGCCATCTGTCTAAAAAATTATAAGATCCGCACCGTTCGTTGGATTACAGAAAACGAGGGGTCAAATGAAGGTGATTGGCCTCTAAATGACGAATAATATATTCTCTTTTTAAGCTATTTTTGAGGTGTTTGAAGGAGAGTGGTTTCAATCGAAATACGTTTGAAAGGCTTTATTCAGAACTATATTTAGTAGGGTTGCCACATGTTTTAACAAGCAAATTCAAATTGAATTGTGGTGATTAGGTAATTGATATATGTATCACAATATGGGTGCCACACTAAATTGGTTCAGCAAGTTTTAAAAAAGTTTTGAACAAGGTTGTCGTTCAAATGCAACGTTATATATGGGGGGAGGGGAAGGCGGGGCGTACGGGCTATCTGATCGGCCCAAAAGTTTTACCATAACTTGCTAATAGGATGATGAACATACGTACCAAGTTTGAAAATGATAACTTTCTTTTTAGAGTTTATGCCAAAAATTTTAAGTTCCGGCCAGTGTGCTTTGTACGAAAGAAAATGTGTGATAATAATAATAAAAATAATATAATGGTGCTTGGTGTTTGACCGAGCAAAAAACATTCAAAAATCAAGGGTGTTTTGTAGTCACTTCAAACTAGAAAATTGTCGTTGTGCAACTTTGTTGAATTTTTCTAATTTTTGTACGAATTTGAATTTATATGGCTTTTGTTGGAACGTATAATTTTTTCGCCCGGTATACAATGTGTACACATAACACTAGGGGTCCCTTTATTTTATTCAAACATTTTTTCAATAAAGAACTAATACTCAGTGTAAAAAATGATTTTTTTTATGGAGGTACTGCAAAACGGAATTTTTTCGCAGCAATATACAGTTTTGTGTTCGAAAAAGATTCGAGCATTAAGTGTAGGATAAACTGTTCTGGAAGGGGCACCGTATATGTATGTACGTACATTGATGAAACTGTCATAGTATAATTTTAATGTTTGGATCTTAAAAATATAAGAGGCTCACATAAAAACTATATCAATTATAGTAGTTACTGTACCATAAAACTTGTCACGCAGTGCTTTACGTTTTTCGTATTTGATCAGTTTGCTGTTGAGGTAACTCTTCTTGCAATTGCAAAATA